TTATTTAGATTAGTTGGAATCTATTAGCAGGGGTAGAATTGGAAACTTTGGCTGATTCCGATTCCAGCTTCTAGTTGAATCATATAGCAGGAATCGGATTCTGATTCTGATTCCTGATTGAACCAAACAGATGCCATGAATAGATGATTCCGATTCCGATTCCGATTCCGATTCCGATTCCGGTCCTGTCTGCGAATTCAACGCACCCTTAGTTTTTATACTCATCCCTCACGGCATGCACATTTATACCATAATCTTTATGGACTGCCCAACACTTTTGCTATTCTGCTCTAATTCTATAGGTGGCATCCTCCTCAATCTCTTTTCTGGTATGAGTTATTAATCCGAGGCATTGGAAAAGATCATATTGAATTATTTCTTTATCTTTAATCTTAGATGTACCCTAACTTGTACTCTTATTATTAACATCGGTTTGGTTCGTAGTCAGAATCGGAATCAAAATTCTTTAGAATCAGAATCGGAATGGTCCATTCCCATAGTTTGTTTGGTTTAGACAGGAATGAGAATAAGAATTAAAATCAGCAGGAATGGAATTTCATTTCCAAAGAAAGGACAGGGAATGACCATTCTCTCAAATTGGGGAATGCCATTCCAGCAGGAATGGATGGGAATGGGGATTTCGATTCTGCCCAACCAAACAGTTGGAATCAGAATAGCTCATTCCGATTCCAATTCCAGACACCTATTCCCGCAAACCAAACAGGGCCTTAGGGTCCGTTTGATTCGTGATTGGAATCGGAATCGGAATAGGAATAGGAATCCCTTGGAGTCGGAATTGGAATGGTTTATTCCCCCTACCTATTTGGTTCAAACAGGAATCGAAATCGGATTTTGATTGATGCTGTTTGGTTCATCAAGAGGCTGGAAACGAAATCATCAATGTTTTCCAATTTTGCCCCTAATAAAAATAAAAAAATAGAAAATGCATGAAAATACCCAAAAATGCAGAAATTGTAAATTTAACCCAAAAATTTTGTTGAAATGTAGAAACTGATCAGATCAAGGCAAAACCTATGGCGCATGCACTCCACTACGAAACAAAAAAATGTGAATGGATGATAAAATGACGTGTCATTTTTGATATCTTTAACATTCTTATTAAGACTTAATGGTAATTAGACCTTGTGAAATGTGAAAGTATATTTTATAAAACATGAAACCAATAAATGTATTAAATAATCAATGTGATGTCTTTAATCAATATGATTGGGCAAAGACAATTAATCAAATAGATTAAAATAACGGTTATTTTCCCGCCAAACAATCCATTGGTAACTTTGAGTATAAAATTAATTCCATATACTTACAATGGCCTCCTTTTCTTAAATAACCCAAAAATACAGTGCCCAACTTTTAATAATATAAATAAGAATTATAATTATATTCATAAACAAGGTTTAAAGTATGGATACATCTAAAATGCATTAACATGCTTATCGAGTGTTTAAGGTGAGTAAGAAACTATTTTTTTTTTAATTTTTTTAGTTTCATATTTTTATAATGCACTCATACAGTACTATCTAACATTTAAAAACATTTTTTTTGAAAAGCCTTTAAACTGGTATGTTAGTCACCTGCCATAACAATATGATAAATATATATTTTAAAAACTAGACATATTTTTCATTTACATGTAAAAATAGCTTTTTATTATTTAGGGCTGCAAAGGGTATCTGATGGTCCACATTCGAATTCAATCCCATTAAGAGTGACTTGAATTTTGATAGGTAGAGTGACACTTTAAGCATTGTTATGTGTAAAAGGATATAATTATCATGATTTAGGAGAATGTTACCACATTCGAATTCAATCCCACTACTATATATATATATATATATACATAATATTTGCAGTAAAAATAATACACATATTATGGGCCCGTTTGATTTACAGTAATAGGGGTCTGGAATCAGAATTATATTGGAATGGGTCATTCTGGTTCCAATTGTTTGGTTGGTTAGAATCAAAATTGTTAGATAGTGTATACATTTAGCTTCAATCAGATTGATGTATATGTACATTTATTGTAAATGAATAAAAATACATAATTGTTTCATATTATCAATGATGTGTTTTTGTGTAATTATCCCTTAAATTAGATACTTATGAGACTCGTGTTAATTTAAAATGTTCTCAATCATTGGATAGACTTGGGGAGTATATCCTGCCAAAAATGACACTAATGTACTGCCAAAGAGGTTGGGGCAGCTTGTCTCAGTTGTTAGAGTTAGACCCGAAGCACATGTAGTGCATTTGTTTGAAACATTGAACTTGAACCAATTTTCAGTTATGCCTTGGACCTTAGAGTTTGATGGGCAAAACTGGAAAGTTTACACCTAACCTCTAGACTTAATTATGGTACTGCACTGAGTGTTGGATTGGACTGTCTTTGATGTGTCAATCAGTGAAATCATTTGGGGGTCAAAACTTGGGTATGTTGGGACAGTCTGAGAATTCACTTTAGTGGGTGATCATAGTGATAGGATCAGCCATTTTGTCGGACAAAGTGAATGATCAGGACTGTACTCTCTTTGATGGAAACGAAAACTACTGGCAGTCGATTTCAATCGTGTTTGAGATTTGTTTTGCAAAATATATTTATATTGATATTTTTATATTATGTTTCAAGAAAAATGTTTGCAAAAGGTTTTTAATTCCCGGAATCATCTGAGTAGAGAGTGCAACACTGCACCTTACAGTCAGGGGAGAGGTCATTTTCTATCAGGCAGTGTTTGATCATTGTGGGATGAGAGGTTGAGTGTAAGAGACCATTAAGAGTTGTTTACCTGATGGGCTATATCTTGCTTAAGTCCATTATCCTTGGGCCTTCATAGGATAATTGGACTCAATGATCATTTAAGTGTAAATGTTGGGCCCATATTGTACCCATATTGATGGATTCAAGGGTTCATTGCGTTTAGTAGTGAATTTGGCTAGGCCTTTTTACATAGGCTGGGCTAAACCCATGTGGGCTTATGTAAGGTCATTGTGGGGTCCTATGCCAAACAAATTGAACCTAAATGCACTAGCAACTTTCTTGAGATGTGAGCCACTTGTTTAATGGGCCTAAAGCCCATGATTAATTAGATTAATCAAGATGTCACATGATAGTTTAAGCAATCATGTGATATGAGCGAATATGGGTTTGGATATGGGTATAGAGCACTCATTCTTATAACAGGATAATGACTTATTTGCTGATAGAGTCCAAATCCAAATAAAGATTTGGATTACAAAACCTCATAATCAAATTATGAGTGGTGCTCCTTAAGGCTTATAAAAAGGGAGGAGGCAAATTGCTCCAGATCATCTTTTGCTTTTAGTTCTCCCTCTCTACTCTTGCTGCCAGAAACCCTAGTTCGACCTCCTCTTCTTGGATTAATTTTTTATTAGTCCCTTTTCTAAATTTTGCAAGAAAGTTGTAGAGAAAATTTGTGCTCACCTCCCTTGTACGATCCAAAGAGTTGGATTGCAGTTTTGTTGAAAACTGCATTGCTGAACCGACTTCGTTTCAAGCCGTGCCACCTTTAGTGGAGGTTGGTTTTGGGATTTAGTTTGGGCGTGAACTACCACTTTTGGAGCTACATTTGTGGATTCCGTATCAGGTATACTTCTCCGTTCCTTTTGGTTTCAAATCTAATCCAATTTTGGTGCAAGAACGACTATTGAAAAAATGTAGTTTTTCTAAAACTGGGAATTCAATTCCCGGAATGTGAAAGAAAAATTTTGAAATTTCGCCCAACCCTTGTACGATCCAAAGAGTTGGATTGCAGTTTTGCTGAAAACTGCATTGCTGAACCGACTTCGTTTCAAGTCGTGCCACCTTTAGTGGATGCTGGTTTTGGGGTTCAGTTTGAGCGTGAACTACCACTTTGGGAGATACATTTGTGGATTCTGTATCAGGTATACTTCTCCCTTCCTTTTGGTTTCAAATCTAATTCGATTTTGGTGCAAGAACGACCATTGAAAAATGTAATTTTTCTAAAACTAGGAATTCAATTCTTGGAATGTGAAATAAAAATTTTGAAATTTCACCCAACCATCCAGCATGGTTCGTCCATCCATATGATGGATTACACATTCTTTCAAAAATTCCATTGCCATTCCTGTTAGCATGGCATTCCCCCATTTGAGGGAATAGCCATTCCCTCCCCCTCCCTTGGGAATGAAATCCCATTCATATTCTGATTCCTATATAAACCAAATAAACTATGGGAATAAACCATTCCAATTCCAAGGAATTTTGATTCTGATTCCCAGTATGAACCAAACAGACCCCATATTTATACATACTAGTGTGAAGTGAACATGTTTGTAAGTTATAAAGCTCAGTTTGAGAAGAATATAAATACAAATATATAGAATACAAATACATCATTAGAAATACAAAAATACAAGGCTTTGCATTGTTCAGATCGCATTGTCACTCCTTCCAAACTAAGTATATTGTATTTACAATCTTTATATTTGGGAAGAGTAGAAATATGAATATGTATAGTGCAAATACCTTCATATTTGTATTTTTAAACCTTCTATTTTATAAATTGATATTATAAAATCAAAATTACCTTTTATGACAATGCACCAAATTCAAAGACAAATATCTGATTTATAATAATATAGGTAGATAAATATGAAGTTAAAATCGGGTCAGATTGATCAATGCTTCAACCCTAACCCAATCCATCCCAAAATTAGATCGGCTTCATGCTTTCCAACCTTAACCCGAACTTCAACCCAACCCGATTTTTTCGGGCTGGTCCGGAATAACCCAAGTTGCAGCCCCATTAAAAGGGAATCAATTTTGAATCTTCCTATATCCGGTTCGATTCATTCCGTTTCTGCGTATCGGACTGCATGTGGAATGTGGCGTCGTGTCATCTTTGACGCCCATTTTCCTAATCTTATCCGTAGATCTTCTTTAAATGGACGGTTGAGGAACAACAACTCATTTAAGCCACCGCTTTAAACTTTTTTTTTTTTTGGTTCTCTCAAGCAATCTGAAAGTCTCTCTCTCTCTCCAAAATTCCAAAATTGCTCGAAATCTCTGAGGTACGCCTTAGATAGTTCGTCTTTTTTTCCTTCTTTCTGATCTCTTCGACGATCCTTTCTTCATATACAGTGGTTTTTTTTCTGCGTATTTCTTTTTTTTTTCTTCCGTTTCTGGGTCATCGAAAGATCAGATTTTCTTTCAATTTCCAGCATTTTACTCCTAGTTTTGTTTCGTTTCTCTCTGATTCTGATACTGTAAAAGGTGGGTTTCTTCCTTTCTTTCGATTAGCTTTTATTTCTGACCGGGTGATACGTCCTTCGATGAAATTAGGGTCTTGAAAATTTAGGTTTTATTGACTCCAGGAAAATTTTCTAGATTGATCTTATAGAGGCAGAACGGTTGGGGTTCGTTGATTTCTGGGGGTTTCTGTTTGATTGGGTTTTGGAATTGTAGGTTTCCAGTTTAGTTTTGCAATTCTGCAAGAGAGGGGCTCTTGTTCTTTTTTCTTTTCGAGAAATAGTTGATTCAGGTGGTTTGGGTGGTCTTTTTGTATTCATTTTATGGCATTTGAATGTCACGAAACAGGGGGTTTGTTGTTGAAGAATTCTGTAGATTGCATAGATAATCCTTCGGACGAAGAAGTTGCATCACCCCAGTTCAGATCTTACATTCCTTCAGCTGATTCGAAGTTTGATTCCACAAAGGAGAGCCGGAAATCAGTAACACCGAGACCCAGTTTTGAATTCCAGCCCAAGAAGGGCACCGCGACATCTAAAACCGAGAAACTATCTAATTCGGATGATTCGGATTTTAATAATGGCCGGAGATCAATCACCGACCTTCCTCCAGCCCTATTATCTGAAATCCTCCATTGCCTGGACGCCAAAGAGCTGGGAATTGTCTCCTGCGTATCTACATTCCTTCACAGGCTTGCATCCGATCATCATGGATGGAAGGAATTCTATTGCGAAAGATGGGGCCTGCCGGTGGAGGCGGTTCCCCCTGGTTCCGGATTTCCAGACAACAGATCATGGAAGGAGCTCTTTGTAGAGAGGGAATATAGGAGCAAGACTTTCATGGGGCGGTACAGCATTGATGCTCTATATGGCCATACTGAAGCAGTTCGCTCAGTTTTCATTCTGACCTCGGCGAAGCTTATCTTTACTGGGGGTTACGACTTGATTGTCAGGATGTGGGACATGGAAGAAGGGTTGCTAATTGCGTCGTCTCGGCCACTGGGGTGCACAATCCGAGCAGTTGCTGCTGATACAAAGCTTCTGGTAGCTGGAGGGACTGATGGCTTCTTACAGTGCTGGAGGGCTGTTGAAGGAAACCCACATTTGTTCGACATTACAGGTTCCCAGAACCAGAACTTTGAGTTCCGCCTGTGGGAACATGAAGGGCCTGTTACTTGCCTTGCATTGGATCCTACCAGAATTTACAGTGGCTCATGGGACATGACTGTTCGTGTCTGGGACCGATCCCTGTTGAAGTGTGTGAAGGTCTTGAGGCATGCTGATTGGGTTTGGGGTCTTGTCCCCCGTGACTCTACTGTCGCAAGCACAGCAGGCAGGGATGTGTACATTTGGGATGTTAATGGCGGGGATCAAGTTTCTATTGTTCAAAATGCTCATGTGGGTAATACATGTTCTCTGGCAAGGAGTCATACAGGAGACCTTCTCTTCACTGGAGGAGAAGATGGAGCAATTCACATGTTTGAAATCATGAGACATGATACAGAAGCTAATGTTTGTAAGGTTGCAACCTGGATTCCACACACGGGTCCAGTCCACTCCCTTGCATTTGAGTTTCCCTGGCTTGTGTCTGCTTCTAGTGATGGGAAGTTATCACTGATTGACGTGAGAAAGCTATTGAGACCGCAAAGGCGCTCTTTATCAAGAAAGTCTTCAGTAAGTGTGGAAGCCCCTCAGAGGATGTTACATGGGTTTGGGTGCAATTTGTTTACAGTTGACATAGGTGCCGATCGTATTGTATGTGCTGGGGAAGAAGGTGTTGTTAGAATCTGGAATTTCTCACAGGCTTTGGAGATTGAGTGCAGGGTTAGGGCCTTGCGTGGCATTCGATTAGAAAACCGAATGAGGCGACGGAAAATTCAAATAGAAATGAGCAACAAGGGTAGCCGGGCTGATCAGTGTTCAGTGGCAGCCAAGAAGAACCAGATGAAGGGTGATAGGAGTGGCACCTGGCATGGTAGGCGTGGAACAAATGGGAAGCTGAAGGCTTAATGGACTGCATTGTCTCTGGTACTCAACCATGTATACTCTTAGCAAACATGTAGCATGGCTCCATTCCTGTGTTTTCAAATTAGGGCATAGTTCTGTCATTTACGTCAGTAGTTGGATTTGACTCGATGCTTTCTTTTCTGGTGTCATTTGATCGATTCTTTTCTTTGTGTAGATATTAGATGGTAATCTATTCCATCATCATTTGGGGCATGAATTTTCATTAGTGTGACTTCAAAGGAGTTAGATTGCAATGTTAAGACCGTGCCCAGAAGTACACATCTGACTTAGATATCTTTGGCTTCTAAATGACACAAGTATCTTTAGTTTATTTCTTAGATGCATGTGATCCTTTGTTTACCATTTTCATAGTGTTCAGAGCAAATCTTGCAATGAAAGTCACATTAGAAAATCAGGTTTAATTCCAGAGTCCAAACTAATAATTCATTTTCATTTTGTATATCATTCGTTCTTATAAATAATAAAATACTCAATAATTACTGATAAAAAAGACAAGAGAACATACTACTTTATCAAGTTGTTAGTGGTTTGAAAGTGCTGGTTCTTGTTTTTTCACATTGTGAGCTTCCCTGCTATTTCCTCGTTGCATGCTTCTATGTATCTCAACTACCCATGCATTGCCCCGTCCCCTGGGTCTTATTGTCTACCAAAAGGCATTGACTTCTTATTGGGTCTACGGCCTATTCAAGGAAGCCTTGTAGATTTGACAAACTGGGCCGATCGGCATTATTGCTTATTGTCAGTAGAAAATATTGTTTATACAAACCAGGTTGATATATGGTACATAGAGAAGTTATAATTTGACAAATACACTAGAAAGATAAAAAAGAAGCAGCTTCAGTAGAATAGGCTCCCCCGTCTGTGTATAGGAAGCTTCATGCCTCTAATTAACCTGTGATTCTTTATAATGCTAATCATTTTGTTTTTGTTTTTTATTTTATTTAAAAAAATAAAAGTAAAATAATTAATATTTACAATGGTATTAAAAAATATTCAAACATATTTAACCCTATTTTTAAAATATTAATACATAGATGTATGTTTACATATTTACATATATAACGTATGTATACATATATATTAGTGGGGATCCCATGAAGCGGGGATCGGGGTCTCCATGGGGTAGAGAGTGCTCCCCATCCCCGCCCCATTCCCGCTAACAGGGATGAAAATTTCTCCATCCCTGTCCCCGCGGGGGAAAAGTCATCCCCATCCTTGCCCCATTCGGGGTGGATCCCCACAGGAATTGGGGAAGTGGGAAAAATTACCATCCCTAATGTTGATAAATCAAGTTTGATAGATATATAACCATAAAAGGTATTTTCTTTTTGACGTGTCCGGGCCATTGCAAATGCAAGTTATTATCCATTTCTCGCAGTCACATCATTCGGATGAAATAATGCAGGCTGCTTCAAGATCTTCTGACTTCTGAGAGCTTCCATTCTTGTGTTTGTTTGACTGTCTTGTTAAATCTCGTGTTCTTGATATTCTTATTAACAAGATGGTAACAATTTAAAAGAAATTCTTGGAGATGCTCTCAAGGGATCGCTTGGGAGCACCAAATGATTCTAGACAATAGACTTTCCCTTTTGCCATAACCCATTACTGTGACTCCTTTGCTAGTGATGGCTTCTGAAATGATGGGGATTCTGTTGGGATTGGAAACCTATTAGGTCGTGATTCAGTGAGTTTTTGCCAACCGTTGACTGATTCCTGGGGTGGTGCATCTACGGTGTAGAGATAGAGTGTGCTTTGGATTTTAGGGATTTCTTGGAATGGAGAAAGATGAAAAGTCAGCTGGTATCAACCTCTTCCCTGAGCCAGGAAGATAGCTTTTTACATCCCCTGCGAGATAATGGTGTTGGGCACCGCTCAGCGTGAGAATAAATCCCATGTAGAGAGTTGAAATGGAATTTTTTTTTAACCATTTCATTCAGTCGTTAGTGATTGAAATATCGGTATCGTGTATCGTATTGTATTGGACAATGTGGATATGAATATGGATATAGATATACTTAGGAAATATATGGATATGGACAAAAAATATGGAAACGTTTGGATACGTAAGGAAATTGCATATAAATTCTATAAATATATTAATAATTGTATATTTAAATGATATATATGAAGAAATATATTATAATTAATATAGTAAGATAAATGGATATTATACAATTTTATTAATAATGCATCAATCAAGAGTTCAAGGTACACTTTATATAAATTTTTATAAATTAATGTATGTAAAAAATTGATATTATTTTATTATCTATTAAAGTGTAAGGCATAAAGCATATGCAATTATTATGTTTAAATTATTATATTAATTTTTTTCTAATTTTACTTTCTAACATTAACAAAAAATTCAACTAAAAATTAATTCTCAAATGTTTCGGAAACAATATTTTTATTTTTGTAAACAATAAATATGTTATTATAAAATGTAAATTAAAATATCAATTAATAGTTTATAAAAATATATAATCTTAACTTAAAATATATCAAATTTATTAAAAATATGAAGATGGATATCATATGAAAATTCATACATTTTAATTACTAAAATAATTATTCTATTATTAATATTTTATTTTTATAAAATTTTAAATTTAAAAATTATTTTTTATACAAAGTGTAGATTAATGGATTTGATAGATTGAATTTATATTATATTTTCAAATATTTTGTAAACAATATTTTTATTTTTGTAAATAATAAATATATTGTTATTTAATGCAAATTAAATATTAATTAATAATTTATAAAAATTTTAAGATATATATCATATGCAAATTTATCAATTTTAAGTATTAAAATAATTATTCTACTATTACTCTCAAAAAATAATTATTCTATTATTAATATTTTATTTGTATAAATTTTTAAAATTAAAATTCATTTTTTGATATATATGTGGACTTTATAAATTATTTATTCTATTGATTTATAAAATATTAATTTTGAATATTGTTCTTTTTAATTTTTAATTGGAGTCGTTGAAAATAAATGTATGTTGTTTTTTTGGTTTGCATGTAGACATTAATTTTACTAAAAGTTAATTTATTACACTTATTGACAAGGTTCAAAGTATTGACACGTATTGACCATATCGGTCGATATGTATTGTGCCGGTGGCTTCCTGATATGCCCCTACAGGGGTTGTAACGGGGCAGCAACTAGTTTAGAGGGTAGTCGGGCCTTAAACTGGCCCCTCTGAACTGATTTTGAAAAAAATAAGTAAAACATAAAAAAAGCACCAACACTACTGATGTATCAGCTTGTGTCGATATTTAGAACCTTGCTTATTGACATGAAATAATAAAAAGTGGCTCTGTTTGTGGTTAAAGGTACTTGTGTGCCTGGGCATTGACCAACCTAGTGTGGCTCCCATTTGTTGAAACCAGAGTTGATACTCTTTCGTATTGGTGCGTATTGATTGATACTATACGATATGCATCGATATGGTGGCACAATCCAGGAGGCAGGGGAGGAGATATGCGACCCTCAATTTCTTTTTCAACCATGATACATGAAGGATAGGGTGTAGGCGACGCCAATTCGAAGGGCTTTAAAGGGCAAAAGGAAAAAAAAAAAAAGAAGTTGACAGATTCTGAGATCGTTGAGCAGCTATGCTGCTTTGCCAAATTGTCTGTCGGACCTGTGTTTGTCAATCTTGAATGGTGTTGTCTTGATAGCCATGTGGTAGGTAGTATTGTACCACCATTCGGCTAATGTGAGCCATTTGGACCATCAGTGGGTATGGGTGCTTGTGAAGCACCTGAAAGATATGTCTTAAAGTGTGGTTGCCTTGCCTTGAAGCCTGAATAACTCTTTCTATAATTGATTGGTAAAGATGACATCAGGAATTGCCTTTGTATGGCCACTTCCCCAACAGCAGCTGAGATGTGGGCGATTGCAAGAGAACTATTAGGCCTCTCCACTACATTCAGATGCGAAAGCAGCTCTTCTGACTCTAAAAGGAACCGAGAGAAACATTAGTTGGGATATTCAAGCCTTCCACGAGCATATCAAATATCTCTTCTCTCATATTTTGATAATAATATAAGACTGATATATGTAGGACGGGCTGGAGTCACTAAAGCCCATAACATGGCAAAACTAGCAAGACTGCGTAGGTCTTTTGTTTCAGCATCTTACCCCCTATACCTCTTAATTCTCTTTCTGATTCATGTAAAAGGGGGTTAATCATGTATCCTTGAAAAGAGTACAAATATAAATATATACAGTATAAATACATACAAAATATAAGGTTTTACACTCTACATATTTATATTTGTACTCCTTCCAAACTCAGCTTTAGTGTTTTTTGTGGTACCTTTTATCAAAAAAAAAAAAAAATTGTGCCTTCGTCTAGGATGGAAAGGGACAGTAGAATAAATTTCCTCACGTCATCATTAAATACTTCATTCATTAAGGCCTGAAAAGTCGATGGGGGCGTTGCTGAAAGTGCCCGCCGTGATTGCGAAAATGAGGAACCGGTCTGGAATAGTGGCCTTGTTGAGTGCACGGTAGTCCATACATAATTGCCACATGGCATCCTTCTTTCTCACCAATAAGACGGGCAGAAAAAAGACTCGTGCTTGGTCTGATAACCCCTTCATGCAGCATCTTTCCC